ATCCCATTGTGCATCGCTCAGCACCCAGGAGAAGTGACAGCTGGATGTAAACAGGCTGGAGACTGGGGACACTCAGGACAGGGTCTCTGTCTCCATGTCTGTGCCTCTGGGCTCATTAGCCAGGTTTAGTCTGAACAGTCATTACGGGACTTCCCAGTGGGAGATGGGACGATTCAGAATCTCTGCTGAGACACAAGGGAATTGGCTGCTCTGTGTATTTGTGTCCAAAACTATAATTGATTAGTAAAAGAAACAAGGAACCGATGGTTGATGCCTAGTGCTCTAGAGTTGATCTCCTAACAGGAAAATACCCAGGAGTGCAGGGCAGACAGTAGAGACAGATCTGCAGACAGACAGCTGAGGGGAGACAGAAACACTTTCCACAGGCATTCGGGGCTGTTGCTAAGGGATCACAAATCAATAGTTCTTGCCTGTATTTATCATCCAACTGTGCAGCACCTGTCACTGAAGAAGCGTCAATGCAGCTGTCAAGGGAACAGCACCGTGAACACAGTGAGATCATAAAGAAGTTGACCTGAGGCAAAGAGTGAGCGACTCACAGAAGAGCACACAGGGAATGAGAACCCAACCCCAGGAGTCCTGACTCTCCCCTCTCTCCTTGTATGAGAGGAGACAAATAGAATCACAACTGGGCAGAGAGCAAACTCCAATGCGGTTACCTCTGAGCCCTCTCATCCATGCTGCCTAGCTGCCCGGCTAATATAGTCCTCCCCTCTATCGGCTGGTCCTTAGTGTTTCCACAGACAGGCACTTGCTCAGCATGAGAGGTACCCTGTCTTAAAGAGACGGAGGGTTTATTTCAAAAGTGTATTAAAAAATTTCCTGGAAAATCAGGACCTGGATTGGGGTACTTCCACCATCGCACTCTCCATACCCGAGGGCCCAGGGGTGTGATCGCTCCTCTCCAGTAGAGCTGGGGGCCTTATTGCACAGAGGCCGCATCAGCCATTTTGTCCTGGGCAAACTCTGCCGAGTGACCAGTGAGGAGACATTGCAGCTCTCCCTCCATCCCCCAATTTCCTCCTCTGCCCCCTCAGACACAAACACCAGTGCTGTATGGTGGGGTCTGTCCCCTGCTCAGCTGGGACTGGCTCACAGCCAACACCTGGGACAGGTATGTCCCTGGCAGATGCTGCGTCTCCCCCCCTCCCTGAGATGAGGTTGCCTCCTCTCTCAATGTAGCCCTGCATCTTCAAAGCAAATTCACTCTCAGTTTTCCTTTATGAGTTACCTGTCCAACATTCATAGTGTTATATTCTGTTAAAGTGCTACTATTCTTCAGCCTTTGCAACGTGTACATCTAGTACACAGAGTCTCAGACTTTAGGCTATGCATTTTGTGTACGTTATCAAACAAACACATCAAACACTATCACAGCTGCAATTAAATTCTTTGCCCACATATCCTATACAAATGTAAATTCCAAATATATTAGTATACTATGCTCTAGCTGCTTTTATCTTCATCTAGGAAAAGGGCTCAACTGATTACTCACTTGCTGAAAGTTAAGCACATGCTTAAGTGTTTTGCTGGATTCAGGTCAAGAGGAATGGTTTTATGGGTAAGATTAGCTTCCTACTGATGAAAACAAATCACATTTACCTGTACATTTGCATACATTGTAAAGCCTGAAGTTGGCAGTTCAGTGCAACCAATACTCCAAAAATAAATATGGTAAAATATAAACATCCAACCCATCATAAAATATATATAAAATAATATTGTACTTACTTTTATTATGCTTTCAGTAGTATATACAACATACTAGGCATTATATAAAAACAAAGACAGGCCCCAAAGACCTTCTAAGATTTTCCATGGAATTTTAAGAAATAAACATTTTGTTGTGTGTTCCTTGTAGTATGCCTTTTAGATAGCACAAGCACAAAACTTTACGTTAATGTGGTTTGACCGTCCATCTCCTTTTTGAAGCAAAATGCAGGACAATGTAGCACTTTAAAGACTAACAAGATGGTTTATTAGATGATGAGCTTTCGTGGGCCAGACCCACTTCCTCAGATCAAATAGTGGAAGAAAGTAGTCACAACCATATATACCAAAGGATACAATTAAAAAAAATGAACAAATATGAAAAGGACAAATCACATTGCAGAACAGAAGGGGGATGCGGGGGGGTGGGAAGGGGGAGGAAGGAAGGTAAGTGTCTCTGAATTGCTGATATTAAAGGTAGGGAGAGTGGGATGTTTGTGAGTTAATGGTATTACAGGTGATAATTGGGGAAACTGTCATTCATGTTAAAATTCGACACTTGCCAACAAGGACTTAACAAGAATTTGAACTTTCTCACCCATCACCAAGACAGTTTCCCCAATTATCACCTGTAATACCATTAACTCACAAACATCCCACTCTCCCTACCTTTAATATCAGCAATTCAGATAACACAGCCACTACAAAGGACAGGACAGAAATTACACTAATAAGTCACTTACAGGTACCATGAAACCCTTTTGGTTCTCTGAGCTGTTATTAAATGCATGCAAAATAGACACCTAGCAGGTATATATTCTCACCCCTGCGCTCCAGATTTAGCGTAGCCAGCCTCTTTCTCTCAATCCCTTGGGAAGAAGTAGGGCGAGGTTGGGCGTCCCACAGACCTCAGGAGACAATCAATACCTGCCAGCAGGTGTAGATGATTGGAGCTCAAATGGGGTGGGCTACTAAACCCCTCTTTATACCCCTTGGGTCATGTAGGCTTCTTCCTGGTCTCAAGTGGCCAATTAGGAACAATGGCTTTGATTGTCAAGTTTCCCACGAAGGGTGCAAAGCATAATTCACACCTGGGAAAATGCAGACAATGGGCACCTGTGGTATGTGATGGGCGAAGATTCCTCTCCTGGGACAGTGCAGGAGTGTCAGCTATTGGTACTAGCCATCAGGGCGACGGGAGGCCCCGGGTTGTCAGCTAGCCCATTTACTGTCTAGATTCTGTTTACTGTAGAGTCCGGGACAGGCAGCACACCTGCATTCCCAGGGCATCAAAGGCTGACTGCCTTTCTCTTGCTCTCTGGAGGGAGAGGGGACAAGGTGGTGTTCATGTCTGGCTACAGTGGGGACCTGCCCCTTGCTCACAGCTTCACTTTGCTTTATATCATGGGTAGCCAACCTATGTAACAAAGAGAGACAAAACGGCAGAAAAAATGTGAAGAGCCACATCAGAATTGTCAAGCAGAAAAAAAGTGCCCCCCCCGTACAGAATTGCTAAGCAAAAACAAAAACAATTAAAAAAAAATTTAAAGGAGGCTGCCCCTTTAAGAAGGCCCGCACCTCTGACCTGGTAAGCAAAGGGAAGCTGTGGGCAGTGGGGAGCTGGCGTGGGGTGTAGGACGTTGGGGTTGCAGGAGTGGCTTCAGGAGCTGCACTTTTGGGTGGCAAGAGCCACATGCGGCCCGTGAGCCACAGGTTGGCCATGGCTGCTTTATATTAACAAAGTCTGAAAATTGCTGTTGAGGCCTCGGTCCCCTGAGCAGTCCTGTGATACATGGGCTAATGTTTCAGGCTCTCCTTTTACTACAATTTGGAGCCATGCATAGACCATATGGTGTACTCCCATAAGGTAGGGGATCAAGAGGGTTGCTGACTGATACAGTCCCTCACCCCATCTATTGCTGTGTCCCACTTGAAAGATTAAAAAAAGGCTTTAGTGTCATGAAGAAGTCTTATTTTGGAAAACCGTTTGGACAACGGGGAAGGAGTGGCTTCACATCTCCCCTGGGAGTTGGCCTGCTTGGACCACAGCTCCATATCTCCAACTAGGCACACTTACTGTCCTGTGTGCATAGGACCCGTTATTATAAGGGTTGGTACACTGCCCACGTTCTTCACCAAGTGTTGTGGATTTGAGCCTGTCCTTCCCCTTATGCCAGCTCACTACAAGGCTGGGAGTCACCTACAATTAGGGAATTAGGCCCAGTGCATGGTTTTGTCACAATAAAGCAAATCGATCTATGATGGATTTATTATTAACTATTGTCAGGAGAAAAGTATGGATTGAAACAGAACCTAGTGCTTTTTTAAAAAATGTATCAGGTATCAGTCCGGAAAGTAGCATAGTTGTGAAAAACCAGAAATGGAATTGTGGTTCAAAACAGGATACCTGAAAAATAAAACAACAGTTTTGTAACCCAGTGATGCAGAGATGAGTGAAAAATTCAAATTCAAAGATGAGAGTGCACCAAGGGAACATCGATCAGCGCTGGAATGTTTGAGTGCAGACCTCTGTGTCCAAGGAACAGTACGATTAGTGATAATGAAAATCCACTGAACGGCTGCAAACCACTAAGACAATTACACTCGGGTTAAACTACATTAGCTTTCACATGGGTCAGGGAACAAAATACAAAAAGCTACAATCTCTTTTTTGCCAATTTCAGTTATCATGGATGCAGCCAGCACCTCTTCCACACCATTTGAAGCCAAATTTGCATGATTTTACCCCCCACTCTTGTCTGTCCTACTGGCTCCAGAGCTGTATCCTTATGACAGTCTCCTTGTCGGTTTGTATCAGCTCCTGGTCCAACCCTGGTTCAGAGAGAGCCCAGCTGGTGAGGACAGATGTCAGGATGTTCCAGCGAGGAATAGAAGGGGAGGGGAGGAGTGAGCAAAAGTGCTGGACTTTTATGGACGTGTCAGAACAGAGGTGAAGACCTGGGGGATACAATGAAGTAGGGCATATACCCGATGCAATTAAAGTGGTGTATGGGCCAGGGTTTGAGGGACTAGTCAAAGAGGCAGGGAGAAAGTTAGGAGAAATTAGACACTTGGACACATGAAGTGTTAACGAGTTCCACTCAGACTAATAACCCAGTTATTCTCGTTGACAAAGCACAGTAAGATCAGGACAGGATTGAATGAATCTCTGACTGATCCACTCAGTGAGAGGGCCGAGTACCATCTCCCCAGCCAGCTCTGCACTAACCATGGTCTGTGAGCCAGGGCACTTAGGAGCCTTTGTGAATTTAGGAGCCTTTGTGAACAAAGAAATGCAGCATCCGGTTCCGGATCTGTTTGGTCCTCACACCATAGATGATGGGGTTTAGCGAGGGGGGCATCACGTAGTACATGTTGGCAATAAGAACTTGTACAGGGTGAGGCTTCTTCTCAAATCGTCCCGAGAGGGAGAAGTAGATACCTGGGATGTGAAACACTAAAATGGAACAGAGGTGGGAGGTGCAGGTCCCAAAAGTTTTGAGCCGTGCGTCCTTTGTGGGGAGGCTGAAGATGGCCCTGAGGATCTGAATATAGGACACAACAATAAACAACACATCCAGACCCTTCAGACAGAATAGCACAAATAAGCCATAGTGACTACTGGCTCGGGTGTCACCGCATGCCAATCCCACCACTGGGAAGTGAACACAGTATAGGTGGGGGACTATGTTAGTTCTGCAGTATGACCACTGTTTCGCCAGGAGGACATAGGGCAATGTGATCAAGGCACCACGCAGCACCACGGCCAGGGCAATTTTGGTTACTGTAGCGTTTGTCAAGATGGTGGAATGTCTCAGGGGATGGCAGATGGCCACGTAGCGATCCACAGCCATGGCCACGAGGATCCCAGACTCTATTGTTATGAAGCAGTGAATGAAGAACATCTGGGTGAGGCAGGCATTGAAATCAATCTCCCTGGAATTGAACCAGAAGATGCTCAGTGCTTTGGGCAGGATGGATGTAGACAGACCCAGGTCAGTCATGGCCAGCATGCAGATGAAATAGTACATGGGCCCATGGAGGCTCAACTCCATCTTCACGATACACAGGATGGTGAAGTTCCCAAAGAGGGTTATAATGTACATGGTGCAGAAGGGGATGGTGATCCAGACATCAGCTGTCTCGAAGCCCGGAATGCCCTGCAGGATGAAGGTGGAGGGGTTGGTAACCTTGGTTGAGTTGAAATCTGACATGAGACAGAGGAGAATGGGTTGAACTGTGAGTTAGAGCAATTCCTCCTCTCTGCACTGTACGTTCTCCGGACTTCCTGTTGCTCTTGGCCTAAGATGAGGGTTGTCGGAGAAATCCTGGAAGGAGAGACAATGTTCATATCAGACAACACAGCTGGTGTCATGGTTGAATCAGATTGGTCTCTTCACACACTGAAATGTGACAGTTTCATTGTTCAGATAAATGATTGATGAACAGCTGGATTTTCTAACGTGAATTTCATATTTAATAGAGCTCCATGCTCAATAATGTGTCATCACCTTGGAAACCATAATAGGCACCAGCTGGAAAGAGGGTGTTGGGGCCTTTGTTACCCACCTTTGGTTCTTAATGCCTGGAACGTTAGGCTAGATATTCCATGCTGTAGAGAATGCCTTATTCGCCAGGTTGCTGAAAACGTGAGAGTAGGAAAAAAACCCAAACCCATCTCAGTTAGAACAATCCCCAGTGAGAAGCTCAGTTTTCATCCCCCAGTCTCTGCAAAGGACACAGCTGATGTAAAGGAGGCTTGTGAGACAGGTTGTGAGAAAAGCAGAGGCTGACTTCTCTGGACAGACTGAACTGTTCAATTGTATCCAATTGATATCCTTTGATCCTTATCTGCTTCTTTTTAACTATCCAGCCTTCAGGTGCTTATAGTTTACCAGTTTTGCCTAGTTGTTTTTCCCTTTGATATTTTCATGTCCTCTGGTGCTTGTTTCCCACCCCATTCCTTTTTTTCCTTCCCCCCTCTTCCTTCTCCTCTATTTATTTTGGCTCTGCACATCCTAAACTCAAAACTCCCGTCATCTGAAGACGTGGGTTGTGCCCACGGAAGCTCACGATACCATCTACATGTTTTGTTAATCTACAAAGTGCTACCAGACCATTTGTTGTTTTTAAGATTATCTTGCACAGACTAAGTGGGCTTCCCCCTGAAGTATCAGGGACAGTTTAGTTTAGGGAGGAGACAAACCAGGGGAATACAATAGAGGAGAGGATGTTAAATAATATTATTGCACTAACATGCAAAAAGAGGGAAAATTCCCAACTTCTTACATAAATGGACATTATGTTCATCTATGTGTCTGACGGTATTATTTTTTACTATTGCTTCAACTAATTTTCCCTGAACTGACGTTCAAATTACCGGTCTGTAGTTGCTGACATCGCCTCTAGAGCCCTTTTTAAATATTGGTGTTACATTAGCTGCCTTCCAGTCATTGAGTACAGAAGCCAATTTAAAGGGTAGGTTACAAATCAATTAATAGTTCTGTAATTCCCAATCTCATTTCTTTCAGAACTCTTGGGTAAATGCCATCTGGTCCCAGTGACTTGTTACTGTTAAGTTTATCAGTATGTTCCAAAACCTCCTCTAAGGACACTTCAGTCTGACACAGTTCCTCTGATTTGTCACCTACAAAGGATGGCTCACGATGGCTCAGATTTGGGAATCTCCCTAACATCCTCAGATTTGAAGACTGATGCAAATAATTAATTTAGTTTCTCCACAATGCCTTTAACATCTTTGGCTGTGTCTAGACTGGCCAGTTTTTCCAATAAATCAGCCGCATTTCAGGAAAAACTTGCCAGCTTTCTACACTCGGCATTTGAATTTCTGCAAAAGCAATGACTTCCTACTGTATGAAATCTGTGCTTTTTGTTGAAATATTATGCTGCTACCGTTTGGGCAAAGGTCCCTTTTGCACAAAAATTTTGCGCAAAAGGGCCAGTGTAGACAGCTCAGATTTGTTTTGCGCAAAAAAACCCCGGTCGCGAAAATGGCGATCGAGGTTTTTTTGTGCAAAAGCGCATCTAGATTGGCCACGGACACTTTTCCGCAAAAATTGCTTTTGCGGAAAAGCATCTGTGCCAGTCTAGACACTCTGTTCCGAAAATGCTTTTAATGGAAAACTTTTCCATTAAAAGGATTTCCGGAAAATCATGCCAGTCTAGACGTAGCCTTTGAGTACTCATTTAGCCTCTGGATCATACTGCCTCTCCCCCGGTTGTTTAGCAGGCTTGTTGCTTCTGATGTACTTAAAAAACATTTTGTTATTACTTTTGCAGTTTTTGACTAGCTGTTCTTCAAACTCCTTTTTGACTTTTCTTATTACATTTGTACACTTCAATTTGCCGTGTTTATGCTCCTTTCTATTTACCTCACTAGGTTTAGATTCCCACTTTTTAAAAGGTACGTTTTTATCTCTTACTGCTTCTTTTACATGGTTTTTAGCCCATGGTGGCTCTTTTTCAGTTCTTTTACTATATTTTTTAATTTGGGGTATACACTTAAGTTGGGCCTCTATCATGGTGTCTTTCAAAAGTGTCCCTGCAGCTTGCAGGGATTTTACTTTAGTCACTCTGCCTTTTATTTTCTGTTTATCTAACCTCCTCATTGTTGTGTAGTTCCATTTTTGAAAGTATGTCCCATGGTGTTGGGCTGATGAGGTGTTTTTCCCACCACAGGAATGTTAAATGTTATTATAATATGGTCACTGTTCCCAAGCGGTGCTGTTACAGTTACCCCTTGAACAAGATCCTGCACTCTGACAGGGTTTAATTATGTACCTGCTGCTCCAAGATGCAGTCATTTAAGGCATTGAGGAATTTTATCTTTGCATCTTGTCTTGGGGTGACGTGTACCCAGTCAATATGGAGATAATTGAAATCCCCCACTATTACTGAGTTTTTTATTTTGATAGCATCTCTAAACACCCTTAGCATTTTATAGACACGATGAATGTCCTGATCAGGTGGTCGATAATCGATCCCTACTACTATACTCTGATTAGAGCATAGAATTACTGTACATAGAGATTCCATAGAACATTTTGATTCATTTATGATTTTTTACTTCATTTGATTCTACATCATCTTTCACATATAGTGGCACTCCACCATCCACATGGCCTATTCTAGCCTTCCAAAATATTTAGTATGATTATGTCTCACTGATTGTCCTCATTCCACCATTATGCCTATTATGTAATAGAATCATAGAATAATAGGACTGGAAGGGACCTCGAGAGGTCATCGAGTCCAGCCCCCCGCCCTCAAGGCAGGACCAAGCTCCGTCTACACCATCCCTGACAGATGTCTATCTAACCTGTTCTTAAATATCTCCAGAGAGGGAGATTCCACCACCTCCCTTGGCAATTTATTCCAATATTTGACCACCCTGACAGTTAGGAATGTTTTCCTAATGTCCAATCTAAACCTCCCCTGCTGCACTTTAAGCCCATTACTCCATGTCCTGTCCTCAGAAACCAAGAGGAACAAATTTTCTCCTTCCTCCTTGTGACACCCTTTTAGATATTTGAAAACCACTATCATGTCCCCCCTTAATCTTCTTTTTTCCAAACTAAACAAGCCCAGTTCATGAAGCCTGGCTTCATAGGTCATGCTCTCTAGACCTTTAATCATTCTTGTCGCTCTTCTCTGTACCCTTTCCAATTTCTCCACATCTTTCTTGAAATGTGGCGCCCAGAACTGGACACAGTACTCCAGCTGAGGCCTAACTAGCGCAGAGTAGAGCGGCAGAATGACTTCACGAGTTTTGCTTACAACACACCTGTTAATACAACCTAGAATCATATTTGCTTTTTTTGCAACAGCATCACACTGTTGACTCATATTCAACTTGTGGTCCACTATGACCCCTAGATCCCTTTCCGCCATGCTCCTTCCTAGACAGTCGCTTCCCATCTTGTATGTATGGAACTGATTGTTCCTTCCTAAGTGGAGCACTTTGCATTTCTCCTTATTAAACCTCATCCTGTTTACCTCTGACCATTTCTCTAACTTGCTAAGGTCATTTTGAATTATGTCCCTATCCTCCAAAGAAGTCGCAACCCCACCCAGTTTGGTATCATCTGCAAACTTAATAAGAGTACTCTCTATCCCAATATCTACATCATTGATGAAGATATTGAACAGTACGGGTCCCAAAACAGACCCTTGAGGAACTCCACTTGTTATCCCTTTCCAGCAGGATTTAGAACCGTTAACAACAACTCTCTGACTACGGTTATCCAGCCAATTATGCACCCACCTTATCGTGGCCCTATCTAAGTTATATTTGCCTAGTTTATCAATAAGAATATCATGCGAGACCGTATCAAATGCCTTACTAAAGTCTAGGTATATGACATCCACCGCTTCTCCCTTATCCACAAGGCTCGTTATCCTATCAAAGAAAGCTATCAGATTAGTTTGGCATGACTTGTTCTTCACAAACCCATGCTGGCTATTCCCTATCACTTTATTACCTTCCAAGTGTTTGCATATGATTTCCTTAATTACCTGCTCCATTATCTTCCCTGGGACAGACGTTAAACTGACCGGTCTATAATTTCCTGGGTTGTTCTTATTCCCCTTTTTATAGATGGGCACAATATTTGCCCTTTTCCAGTCTTCTGGAATCTCCCCTGTCTGCCATGATTTTTCAAAGATCATAGCTAAAGGCTCAGATACCTCCTCTATCAGCTCCTTGAGTATCCTGGGATGCATTTCATCAGGACCTGGTGACTTGCTGACATCTAACTTTCCTAAGTGATTTTTAACTTGTTCTTTGTGTATCCTATCTTCTAAACTTACCCTCTCTCTGCTTGTATTCACTACGTTAGGCACACCTCCAGACTTCTCGGTGAAGACCGAAACAAAGAAGTCATTGAGCATCTCCGCCATTTCCAAGTTCCCTGTTACTGCTTCTCCCTCCTCACTAAGCAGTGGGCCTACCCTGTCCTTGGTCTTCCTCTTGCTTTTAATGTATTTATAAAAGGTCTTCTTGTTTCCCTTTATGCCTGTAGCTAGTTTGATCTCATTTTGTGCCTTTGCCTTTCTAATCTTGCCCCTGCATTCCCGTGTTGCTTGCCTATATTCATCCTTTGTTAGTTGTCCTAGTTTCCATTTTTTATATGACTCCTTTTTTATTTTGAGATCATGCAAGATCTCCTTGTTAAGCCAAGCTGGTCTTTTGCCA